GTAAAGATTTTGACCCCTTTTTAAATATTGGCACCACATTGGCCTTACGCCAATCCAATGGTACTATGCCAGTCATTAAAGAGTCCCTAACAATTAGAAACAATGGATTTGAAATTAAAGAGCTCAATTCTTTAAGGACCCGTGAGTGTATGCCATCCGGTCCAGGAGCTTTATTCACCTTTATACTGTCTAAATATTTTTGGATCATATCAATTGTGAGCCAATGTGGATCATCTGGAGCTGTGTCAATACCATGCCCATTATGTACAAGAGCTCCCCCATGCTCCTTTGTATACACAGAGCAGAAGAAGGTATTTAATAAATTTTCATTCTCTTTGTCCCCAAGGGAGAATGTCACCAGCACACCGAGGATCACCAATATGGGTCCAAAAGTTTTAATGAACAATCAAATAGTTACAGCAAGGCAACATTTCGGAGTCTCGTAGGACTCCTTCATCAGGCATGTGACAAATTGTGACAGAACCTGGAGAACTATTTAAGAAACCAATCCACCAATCAGAGTGAAATGAAATTAGCCTGGCCCGACCCCATGATGTCATGTTCCCTCCAAAAATGCATTCAAATCAATGTAAACAGAAACATGATAAACTGCAAAAATAAATAAACCATAAAACAATAATCAGATGTACATAAACTGCATTCCTGGGGATATAAACATTGTGGTCACATGTGTATCATAGTACTCCCCAGAGTGTAATAAAGTGTCAACTGAAAGCAGCGCTGTATTATGGAAACAATGCCCAGCAGCATATATGTCCCTGACAGAAGATAAAAGCTGTTGCCTAGAGATGTGGGGGGGTGTCTCCGATTGTCAAGTGAGCTGCAATGAGGACACACCTACAATGGTCCTATTGGTGCAGCGGCTGACAGTGTCATGGTGACGCATGTCACCTGCATGCACAATGCGAGTTTACTACTCACGCATGAGCTCAAAGTCATTCCTGCACCGGTCACTGTTATCATGGAAACCCATGATGTCGGCGCTGGACAGGACAAGGCAGAGGCAGGTCACCTGTGTCATGGAAACCCATGACGTCGGCGCTGGACAGGACAAGGCAGAGGCAGGTCACCAGTGTCATGGAAACCCATGACGTCGGCGCTGGACAGGACAAGGCAGAGGCAGGTCACCAGTGTGATGGAAACACATGACGCCGGCGCCACACAAGCCAATGGGTGGGCAGGGTTGCAGAGATGAGCTGTGAAGAAAAAAAGAACAGAAATATATGTCCCTGACAGAAGATAAAAGCTGTTGCCTAGAGATGTGGGGGGGTGTCTCCGATTGTCAAGTGAGCTGCAATGAGGACACACCTACAGTGGTCCTATTGGTGCAGCGGCTGACAGTGTCATGGTGACGCATGTCACCTGCATGCACAATGCGAGTTTACTACTCACGCATGAGCTCAAAGTCATTCCTGCACCGGTCACTGTTATCATGGAAACCCATGACGTCGGCGCTGGACAGGACAAGGCAGAGGCAGGTCACCAGTGTCATGGAAACCCATGACGTCGGCGCTGGACAGGACAAGGCAGAGGCAGGTCACCAGTGTCATGGAAACCCATGACGTCGGCGCTGGACAGGACAAGGCAGAGGCAGGTCACCAGTGTGATGGAAACACATGACGCCGGCGCCACACAAGCCAATGGGTGGGCAGGGTTGCAGAGATGAGCTGTGAAGAAAAAAGAACAGAAAGGAAGCAGATTGAGGGCCAGTTCACACCACATGCATTTCACTTACTTTTCATCTGCATCCAAAATGCAAAGAAAGTAGGCTACATGGTTGTCAATGTCATAGTTCACATCAGTGCTCGCAGTTCTAGTGCGTTCCAGCTGCAGATAAAAATCAGAACACGCCGCATCGCCTCCGCACAGAACTGCACGGGAATGCAGCAAAACGCATCAAAAATGCATCGGAGCGCACCAAAATGCACCAAAGATGCACCGGAACACACATGTCTCCATCTAAATTGAAGAAAAAGGGAGGGGAGGAAAGAAACTGGGATGAATAAAAAACGCATCAGAGCATGTAAAAAATGCACCACAGCATGCCAAAAACGCATCAAAGCGCGCATGCAAAAACGCATCTGGAAAGCATCTGGACTACGTCTCCATAGTGCGAACCAGTCCTGAGACTGATGGTAATCAGTCAGTGAATGGAGCTGGGGAGAAGTGGAAGAAAAGGGAGTGATCAAAATGGAAAAGAGGCTGGAAATGGAAAAAAAAAAATAAATGTGTAGGAGTGGCACAGCTCACTGGTTACAGAGAGAAAGAGGGAGACCGCTGTGAATAGTGCGAATGTGAAAAATCTGAACCAAAAGTTATCTACAAAACTACATACACTTCACTCATGAGGAATCATCCTATCCAAAGTTCATCTGCTATCCAAAAAGCACAAATATGATGTATTAATATGAAGTCCCCTCGGTTGTGTTGTGTCTAGGTTATGGATCCAATAAGCTTTCACGATGCAGGAAGAAGTACACTTGCCTTCTCTTTGTCCCCAGTCACCCACTCTAGATTATTTTGTAAAGGGCCTACATGCACGAACCTGACCTTTTTACTATTAATATATTGGAAGAATTTTGAGGGGTTTTTCCTTGCAATCTGTCGTTCGTTTTCAATTTTTGTGGCCTTTATTTCCTTTTTGCATATTCTGTTATATTATTTGTAATGTTTAAACAATGATAGCATTTTTTATATTTAATAAAAGCTCTTTTCTTATTATACAGGTGAAACTCAAAAAAATTAGAATATCGTGCAAAAGTTAATTTATTTCAGTAATGCAACTTAAAAGGTGAAACTAATATATGAGATAGACTCATTACATGCAAAGCAAGATAGTTCAAGCCATGGATTGTCATAATTGTGATGATTATGGCTTACAGCTCATGAAAACCCCAAATCCACAATCTCAGAAAATTAGAATATTGTGAAAAGGTGCAATATTCTCGGCTCAAAGTGTCCCACTCTAATCAGCTAATTAAGCCATAACACCTGCAAAGGGTTCCTGAGCCTTTAAATGGTCTCTCAGTCTGGTTCAGTAGGAATCACAATCATGGGAAAGACTGCTGACCTGACAGTTGTGCAGAAAACCATCATTGACACCCTCCATAAGGAGGGTAAGCCTCAATAGGTAATTGCAAAAGAAGTTGGATGTTCCCAAAGTGCTGTATCAAAGCACATTAATAGAAAGTTATGTGGAAGGGAAAAGTGTGGAAGAAAAAGGTGCACAAGCAGCAGGGATGACCTGTCAGGAATGGACTGGCCAGCAATGGTGGGACTCACCTGCCTTATGGGCTGCAGTACCAGGGCTGGCCAGCGGGTGCTCCCAGCAATCAGAGACTCAACCTTGCAGCCAGTCAAACACCTGGAACTGATTATACTGGTGTAATTTAGGGATGGCCAGACCTGCAGACTCTGCCTTGGTGTGTGTTTCTCCTGGGCCCTGTATCCTGTTCCTGCTCCCTGTTCCTGTTCCTGTCTGATTCGTTGCTGACCCTGCTCTGATCCCTGGCTTTGTCTGACCATTCTCCTGCTCCTGATCCCTGGCTTTGTCTGACCATTCTCCTGCTCCTGATCCCTGGCTTTGTCTGACCATTCTCCTGCTCCTGATCCCTGGCTTTGTCTGACCATTTCTCCTGCTTAACCCCATACGTTCTGACCTCCTGTTGATAATCCCGGCCTGCCTGACGACGCTTGCATTGTATGTACTGTTATCTGTGGGTGGTTTGGTTAGGTTCGTTTGCACTGTGTTATGTTTTAGTATTGCACTGCGTTTATGTATTGTTAGTGTTAATAAATTATATTTATAACATATCTGAAGCCTGCGTTTCCCTGCGTCAGTCACATACCTCTGGTCACACTCTGGAGCCCTGACATTACACCAAGGCCAATCCTGACCAGAAGTGGCTGCACAGGGAAGCCATCTTGGTTTGTTGCTGGGAAGGATGGATCTTGATGAGGTAGTGTTTGATGACAGAGAGTATGCTTATCAAACTCTGAAGGAGTATCCCCTGGATGAACTGCTAGAATGTATACGGCTCGCTCATGTTCTAGTAGATCAGGGCACAGAATTCTGAGGTGTAGCCATTGATTCTGATTTGTGCGGAGTTGGTTTCATCTGGTACCCCCGAATGCAGGGATTGAATTTTTGCCGCCATTTAGTGCCAACCAGGTAGAGTCCCTGGTATGGTTATTAGAGGATGATGTGGATTGCTTCTTGGAGCATTATGCTGCATGTTCACCACAGATACTAAGAGATTGTATAAACGCAGTGCAGTCATTGACCAGACAGGCTTTGTGTAAGCTGAGCTTTGTTCAACCCATACTGCAGACATGGACAAATTTGTTGCACCCAGCCTCAGTCAGCCTACAAAAACCCAGTCCTGCTTCTAATCTATTTCCTCAAAGCTCTATTCCTGCATTCCCAACAGCTCCTCCTGCCCTGCTATCTACCGCATGTCAGTACCCTGTTCCCACTCGCTGCACCTATCCTGCCTTTAACCCTGTAAAAAAGCCCTCTGTAGCAACTGCTCCCTCCTCTGTTCCATCCTCCAGCTCTTCTCTGTCTCCAGCTGCTCCATTCGTTTGCAGACCTGCGTTTACTTGCAGTGCTCCAGTAGTTAAAACCAGAAAAAGCGAAAATTCTTTCCAACCAATACCATCCTGCCAGTATCCAAACCGGTGAGCCTGCCGTCTGAGAACCTGCCTTCCGTGGTTCAGCCTGGTGCCTCGGCACCCGCACTTCAGCCTGAGGTCTGTTCCCAGCCTGATGCCTGTACCCAGCCTGATGCCTGTACCCAGCCTGATGCCTCTATTCAGCCTGATGCCTCTCTTCAGCCTGATGCCTCTACTCAGCCTGATGCCTCTACTCAGCCTGATGCCTCTACTCAGCCTGATGCCTCCACTCAGCCTGATGCCTCCACTCAGTCTGATGCCTCTACCCAGCATGATGAACTGATCCAGCCTGATGATCCTATTAGGCCAGTTGACTCGATGCCCGCTGTTGATCCAGATGATCCGGTACCTGATACGGTGCCCGCTGTCGTGCCAATTGACTCAGAGCCCGCTGTCGTACCTGGTGACTCGTGCCCACTGCCTTGCCAGATGACGCGGTGCCCGCTGGCGAGCCAAATGACCTGATGCCTGGTGACCCAGTACCCGCTGTCATACCTGGTGACCCGATGTCCGCTGTCGAGCCAGACAATCCGGTACCTGATGACCCGGTGCCCCGCTGTCATGCCAATTGACTCAGAGCCCACTGTCGTGCCTGGTGACTTGGTGCCCACTGTCTTGCCAGATGATGCGGTGCCCGCTGTTGAGCCAAATGACCTGATGCCTGGTGACCCGATGCCCGCTGTCCAGCCAGATGATCCAATGTCTGACCCAGTGCCCCGCGGTCATACCAGTTGACTCGGAGCACACTGCCTTGCCAGATGACGCGGTGCCCGCTGTCGAGCCAAATGACCTGAAGCCTGGTGACCCGATGCCCGCTGTCCAGCCAGACGATCCAATGTCTGACCCAGTGCCAGCGGTCATGCCAGTTGACTCGGAGCCCACTGTCGTGCCTGGTGACTCGGTGCCCGCCGCTCCGCCTGAGGGCCCGAGACCTGTCGCTCCGCCTGGGGGCCCGAGACCTGTCACTCTGCCTGGGGGGCCTGAGACCTGTCACTCCGCCTGGGGGCCTGAGACCTGTCGCTCCGCCTGGGGGCCTGAGACCTGTCGCTCCGCCTGGGGGTCCGGCGCCCACCGCTCCGCCTGGGGGCCCGAGACCTGTCGCTCCGCCTGGGGGTCCGGCGCCCGCCGCTCCGCCTGGGGGCCCGAGACCTGTCGCTCCGCCTGGCGGTCCGGCGCCCGCCGCTCCGCCTGGGGGCCCGAAACCTGTCGCTCCGCCTGGCGGTCCGGCGCCCGCCGCTCCGCCTGGGGGCCCGAGACCTGTCGCTCCGCCTGGGGGTCCGGCGCCCGCCGCTCCGCCTGGGGGCCCGAGACCTGTCACTCCGCCTGGGGGTCCGGCGCCCGCCGCTCCACCTGGGGGCCCGATGCCTGTCGCCCCGCCTGGGGGCCCGATGCCTGTCGCCCCGCCTGGGGGCCCGATGCCTGTCGCCCCTCCTGGGGGCCCGGCACCTGCCGCTCCGCCTGGGGGCCTGATGCCTGTTGCCCCGCCTGGGGGCCCGGTGCCTGTCGCCCCACCCGGGGACCCCGGTGCCTGTCGCCCCACCCCGGGGGCCCAGTGCCTGCTGCTCCACCTGGTGGCCCGGTGCCTGCTGCTCCGCCTGGTGGCCCTGTGCCTGCTGCTCCGCCTGGTGGCCCGCTGCCTGCTGCTCTGCCTGGTGGCCCGCTGCCTGCTGCTTCACCTGGGAATCCGATGTGCCTCTGCCCGGAGTCCAGCCCGATGTGCCTCTGCCCGGAGTCCAGCCCGATGTGCCTCTGCCCGGAGTCCAGCCCGATGTGCCTCTGCCCCGGAGTCCAGCCCCGATGTGCCTCTGCCCGGAGTCCAGCCCGATGTGCCTCTGCCCGGAGTCCAGCCCGATGTGCCTCTGCCCGGAGTGCCTCTGCCCGGTGTGCCTCTGCCCGGTGTGCCTCTGCCCGATGTGCCCCTGCCCGGTGTGCCCCCTGCCCGGAGTCCTGCCCGGTGTGCCGCTGCCCGGAGTCCTGCCTGGTGTGCCAGTCTTTGATATCCCGCCAGTTACCAGACCCGGGCGGAACATTTTGCCCAGCTAGGACTGTTTGGAGCATCCTGAGGCCGCTCCTTGAGGGGGGGGTACTGTCAGGAATGGACTGGCCAGCAATGGTGGGACTCACCTGCCTTATGGGCTGCAGTACCAGGGCTGCGGGTGCCAGCGGGTGCTCCCAGCAATCTGAGACTCTGCCTTGGTGTGTGTTTCTCCTGGGCCCTGTATCCTGTTCCTGCTCCCTGTTCCTGTTCCTGTCTGATTCGTTGCTGACCCTGCTCTGATCCCTGGCTTTGTCTGACCATTCTCCTGCTCTGATCCTGGCTTTGTCTGACCATTCTCCTGCTCCTGATCCCTGGCTTTGTCTGACCATTCTCCTGCTCCTGATCCCTGGCTTTGTCTGACCATTCCTGCTCCTGATCCCTGGCTTTGTCTGACCATTCTCCTGCTTAACCCCATACGTTCTGACCTCCTGTTGATAATCCCGGCCTGCCTGACAACGCTTGCATTGTATGTACTGTTATCTGTGGGTGGTTTGGTTAGGTTCGTTTGCACTGTGTTATGTTTTAGTATTGCACTGCGTTTATGTATTGTTAGTGTTAATAAATTATATTTATAACATATCTGAAGCCTGCGTTTCCCTGCGTCAGTCACATACCTCTGGTCACACCCCGGAGCCCTGACATGACCGCAGCCTGGAGAGGATTGTCAGGAAAAGGCCATTCAAAAGTGTTGGGGACTTTCACAAGGAGTGGACTGAGGCTGGAGTCAGTGCATCAAGAGCCACCACACACATTTTCACCTTTTAAGTAGCATTTCTGAAATAAATTAACTTTTGCACGATATTCTAATGTTTTGAGTTTCACCTGTATATAGCTATTTTAAACTTTGGCCGTAAGCCACATAGGTTTGATTTTTAACCTTTTAGATTGTTGCCCATGGGAATATATTTTGCAGTGTGTTCACATACAGTCTTTTTGAAGAACTCCCATTTCTGTGTTGTGTTCATCAATGCCAATTTTCCCACCCAGTCTAAGTCTTAGAGAGCAGCTCTCAGCCATGGAAAATTATCTCTCTTAAAATTGAGAGTTTTTATTTTTTCCCATATGTGCTCGCTGTATACAGCTAATAAATGAAATCATGTTATGGTCACTGCTACTCAGATGTTCTTTTATATGCATGGTTTGAGATTACCAGGTCCAGCAGAGTATCATTCCCAGTTGGGGACTCTATGAACTGTACCATAAACTTGTCCTGTAGGTGTATAAATTTGCCCTTTAACTGTTCCTGCAGTGCCATTACTCCAGTCAATTTCCGGGTAGTTAAAATCCCCCATTATTATCACTGTCCCAGCCCTTGCAGCCCTTTCGATCTGTGCAAGGAGCTGAGTCTCCACCTCTTCATTAACACTGGGAGGCCTATAACAAACTCCAATGATTACCTTTGTAGTATGCACCCCAATGTGCAGTTCCACTCGTAATGCTTTAGCCTCATCACACTCTCCATCAACTAGGTCCTCTTTCACACTCGCTCTGAGATCACATCTCACATAGAGGTAGACACCACCACCTTTCCTTTTTACCCTGTCTCTCTGAAAGAAAACATATTCAGAAATATTAATGGCCCAGTCATGTGAAGAATGAAGCCAAGATTCAGCAATACCAATTAAATCATAGTTCTCTTCATGCACCAAAGCTTCCAACTCACCTAATTTGCTTGGCAGACTTCTGGCATTGGTGAACAAACACTTTAATTCATTGACACCTTGTGCACATGTATTTTGCATATTTTTTATTTTCATACAAATGGTACCAATTCCAGTGGTTGTTTGTAACATGGGAACCTTCTTATCATCTGCCATAGCCCTCTCCCCATCTTTCCTCATTCCACACCAATAAGAACTGACCCCTGTCTGATCTGTCTACCCTGTTATAATCTAATTCTCCCTCCCCCCTTGATCATAGTTTAAATACTCCTCCATCCTCCCCATAAACCTCTCCCCCAGCACAGCAGACCTCCTTCCATTTAAGTGCAAACCATCTCTAGCATATAGGTTGCACCCCAATGAAGAGTCCGCCAAGTGCTCTAGAAACCCAAATCCTTCCCTATTACACCAGGTCTTTAGCCATGCATTGAGTTTTCTAATCTCCCCTGTCTTTCCTGTGTTGCGCATAGCACAGGTAATATTTCAGAGAATATTACCTTGAAGGTCCTTCCCTTCAACTTGCAGCCTAGCTATTTAAATTGATTTTGAAGGAGCCTCCACTTTCCATGTATTCCGTCATTGGTTCCAACATGGACCAAGACAGCTTGGTCATGCCCAGCCCCACCCAGTAATTTATCAACCCAGTCCACCACATGCTGAACCCTGGCACCAGGGAGACAGAAAACCATTCAGTTGAGGCGATCCTGGCGACAAATTATTCTATCAGTCCTTTTGATGATAGAATCCCCTACTACCACCAAGTGTCTAGGGCTTCCTGCCCTACCTTCACCACCCCTCCCAGATGGTCTGCCCTCCCGGCTGTTAGGGATAGCAGTGACATCCAGGGCTGTCACCCCTGAGCTTGCCACCCCCACATCTTCATCCAAATCTGTTTGGGTGCACAAACCCAGGACCAACCTTCCTTTTCTGTGAGCCCCTACCACTCCCTCTCAGTACAGTAACCCATCTTCCTACCTGATAGTCCTGATTAGTCCCTCCACATCAATCCCATTAGCTACATGCTCAGGGAGCAGAAGACCCCTTTCAAGGCTGTCAGTTCTGCTCAGTGTTGCAACTTGTTCCTCCAGATCCCTAACGCGAGCTTCCTATATATAATATATAAGAGATTTGGGCAGCCATCTAGATTCAGAATTTCATTAATAGGAGATTGTGCATTATTTTCTGTGCCCACAATGTGGGAATAATATAGAGATAGAGCTCCCAGTGGCTAGGGAGAGTAGGAGTAACATTAGGACAGAGGTACCTCTCCAGGACAGAAATAGTAGGTATCCTGCCACTTCAAAGAAAGCACCCTGTGCCCCCTACTCACCTCCGATGCCCAGCTCTTCCTCCTTCTCCCCGCTGCCTCCTGTCTGACCCCCCGCTCCGTCCAGGAGGCACAATGAGCTCTCTGCATGGATCACTGGCCATCCACCTGCGGACTGTGCACCCAGCTGCTCAGATGAGTACTCATTAGTGAAGGAGCGCTCGGCTTCTACCTTCTCTCTGGGACCGGTCTCCCCTGCTCGCTGAGCCTTGGTCAGATGTGCAGGGGATCCTTCTACACAGGTGCCCTACCCTAAGGCATCCATGGGTGCAGGGTGTCAGGACCCGTGTGCAGTGAACACCATATATCCATGGGAGATACGCCACTGGCACAACTGTCACCTTGGAAGGTCACTACATTGCCTTGTTTTATGAGCTTCTTCACTGACAAAAGATTAGTTTCAAGAGTAGGGATATACAGGACATTTTTCACAGATCTCTTTCTGGTGACACTCTGGGAAATAGGACAGTAAAAAAATATGTCTTCTATACCTTCTGATTCCATTATTTGTCTATTAGTTGTGGTGATTTTTTTCTGTTTTAGTCTGATCAAGGTGAATGAAGAAGTTTCTGTCATTTGTCATGTACCTGTTGTATGATTTATGCATTGTTTAACTGCACAGCTTCAATACATTCATGTAATCTACCACCTATTGCTTGACTTATTTCCTATGTAGTGTTAAAGTGTAGCATACTATTGCTTAAGTTAAACAGGAATAAGCATCTATCTACCTATAGCTAGATGTGTCAGTGGGGAC